ACCCAATCCAACGCTGTCTCTCTTACCCTTCACACGTCTTCCCCCCTTTCCTTCCAACTACTGTCTATCTACAATCCTCCCTTGTCTTTTCCCACCATCCCCAAGCTAGATCACTGGCTAAACACACATTCCTTAAGGACTACTCCCACCATCATGATGATGGACTCTAACTTGCATCACCAGGGGAAATTTCAGGGCACTGGCTTTCCAGTGACTGCAAATCACAATTAAGTCACCCTGGAAGATTTGAATTTTTTTGTAAAAATCACTAAAAGGATCATGATAGAAAATGGGACTCACAAGAAAGTCACTAGATTTTACCCAGAATTTACTACTAATTTTCCATAAAAGAAAAGGAATTTCCTCTAAAATTCCCTTTTGCTTACACCTAGTTTTCCCCCAAAGATAAGGCTGCTGATTCAAATAAAAAAAATAAACCCATGGCCTCAGCAGTTTTTTTGGAACAAATGTTACAGATTTGATTCACAACCAGATCAAGGGAAGCTCTTATTTTTTGGTTTTGTACAGTGCCCCGCACGACCTTTTGACTACCCCCTCAGGGGTGTTCCAAATTCTCCAATTTGTTTTTTTTTTTCTTCGGGTTTTTTGCTACTGGTGGCAATTTTTCCTTCTTTTTTTCATCTGAATTGTACATATGGTCATAATTGTATCGTGTACACACTATATTGGACAGGGGTTATGAAATTGTTTGACCCTGCCTGCTTGTTGCGAACAGAAGAAACCGACGCATTAACAGAAGAATTTGACGTTGAAAGATTTCATTGAACCATCAACAGACATGCCCATCTCCAAAGCTGGTCGTTCACAACGAGTCCGTTGAGGGGCCGAAGCATCTGAAAAGCACAAGGCCACCCAGAGCATCAACAATCAGAAGGAAAAAAAAGGCACAAGAGAAGCGAAAAGAAATCGCAAAACAAAAAGAAATAAAGAAACAAAAAGAAATTGAGAAACAGAAGAAACAACAAGATGTCCTCTGCACTCAGCCAATAGAGATTACCGATGATAACGAACCGATCTTCGTCAGAGATGGGACGTTTCCTGCCAAGGTATTTGAGATTTATGACAATGATGTTGCTTTGGTTGATGAATCACATCATATCATGGCTTGGTGCGAAGATCCCGATGAATCTGGAAGCAAAAATGAAGAATCTCAGGATGTCGTTGAGTTTTTGTGGCCGATCTCGTTTGGTAATAACCGTGAGCCTCCAAAGCGAAACTTGAATTCTGGACGTTCGCAATATCTCATTCCAATGGCCAATCCCGACTCCGATTCCAATAAGGTTGTACCAAGGAAGCTGCCAAGAACTACCAAACATCATTATAAGATGAAAGGTATCAATGCTGTAGGGAAAAACAACAACATCATGTCAAACTTCCTGCAAAAAGGAAAAGATCAGATGAACATCGGAGTTGAGGAGGAACTGACGGAGTCAAGCACAACTACCTCTCAAAACCACCCTCCTCCTAGTCGTGCAATGGATAATCGAAGAGAGTACGATCAGCAAATCAACTTGCGCGGAGGCACGTTATCTTGCAAATCCGTCGAAGCCTGCGTATG